AATAATAATAATAATAATAATAATAATAATAATAATAATAATAATAATAATAATAATAATAATAATAATAAAAATAAGAAGAATAATAATAATAATAAAAATAAGAAGAAGAAGAGGAGGAAGAAGAAGAAGAAGAAGAATAATAATAATAATAATAATAGTAAGGTAATTACCACTCTGCTTCCTATGATCAGTGACAATTGAAGATTTGATGATGTTACTATCGGTTGTAAATTCAGAGTTTGAAGTTCCTACGTCCATCATATGAGTGTTAATGTTATTGTTTTTGTAATTTAGTACTGTGAATTCGTAGTGGAATTATTGTCGATGTTCTATTAAAAGGAACAAAAGAGTCATTTAAGCTGCCATTTGTTATAATACGACTATTACTAGCAGTCCTTGCCATAATGTTATTAGCTGCGTGGCTTGTAGCAATGCTATTCTTGTTGTTTTCGTTGTTATGGTTATTGGTGTTATTATTAATCTCCCAGCTAAAATCAAAGAATTAATACTCAATTCTGCATCTCTATTGGTTTTTGAGATAATTTCATCACGATTTTACTTGTCGTTTCAGTTGCTCGATTGGTATGAGAATTTCTTTCACTCAATTTCTGTAATGATTCTTTCTTTCTAATAGCAAGAACACCAACAAGAATATAATGCAGGTCAGAAATATCTTCAATAGCCAAGTCCCGTTTTTCATCGCATCCTATGGCCAATTGTATATGATCCAATCCAATAAAGCTTTTCGTGTTACTTTTAAGCCCAACCATTTACATAAATCCAAGACTGTTGGTCATCTGTCTCCCTCTTTGTACCACGCTTTATCATTAACCAACAAAAGATCGCAGGAATCTTTCAATTCTTTGACTTGAAATGTATAAGCCAAATAAGTGATCGCAAAGAGCTCTTGTGATCCATAATCACTATTGTCTTTTAGAGGATAACCGTAAATGAAGCGAAGAAATTCACCGAATTGGGCGAGTGTAGTAAACTTCCAGTGTTTAGTTTATTCGATTATTCGTGATTGCGGGTGTTTGACACGACTTGTTTATTATTATTGTGAATGCGTGGATTACCATAATCTTTCCAGTTTTTGAGTGAATCTCTTCTCGGAGTAAAGTTTTGAAATAGAAGGGCCCCTTTTTGGAGTTGCCAGTTTATCACGAAAATACCCCGAGGTCCATTGCAAGATATATCGATGCACGTAATAAAGTTCGTTGTCCACTCGTAATGTCAAATCCGATGTCGTGAGATCGTTAAACTTTTCTTTAATCACTGTCGTAAGATCCATTTTATTGTTAGAATTTGATCTCTTGCCTTTTTTAAATTGAATTAGAATTCTAGAATATCATGACACATTTTTTTATCTCTCTTCATTTTAGTTTGATTGATATGTAGTAAGTTTAAAAGATAATTTCTGCATGATAAATAGTCTCATCAAATGATTTATCAATAATGTAGAAAGACATGTCACGTGAAATTGTGATTTCACATTCTTACATGTATATGAGAACCATCAAATTTTTGGCCAAAATTATGCGGATCATGTAGATCATTTGGCCAAAGTTAGCATAATTTCTTATGATTAAATAGTGATTTTTTAAATAGCGGAATATAAATACAGGTTAATTTTATAATAGTATTTATTAGCTGAATAATAATAAATTTACTGGTATAATTCTTTCATATTACATATTATAATAATTATTGAGATATTTAATTTTCAATCTAATTTTATTTTTATCTCTCACAATAGAATGAAATCGGATTAGAATGAAATTGGGGTCTTTTTGAATCCTCTTTTAATGCCTCTGAAATCCATATATACTCTTCTATTAACAAAAGTTACCCTAAAACCTAACCCAAATTCCAAAAAAAATCTAGAAAATTATCCCCAAAAAAATACGAAATTTTTATATTAAAATAGAGAAAATTTCATTTTTAATCTGATTTCATTTTAATCTGTCACAATAATTATTAAAATTTAGTGAGGGTTTTTCACGTAAGATTAATTGTACTACAAATTCTGGGGTCTCTCAGACACAACAAACCCTCCTCTCTCCACTTTCGTTAAGCACATCGCGGAGGTTATAATACGAGATATTGAAATCAAATTTGATTTTATCACGCTCAAAGGAATGAGATAGAATGCCATGCACAAGACGCAAAATGATTCGTCATTTGTCTAAAAATCAGTGGCTACTTGAATGAAAAATTTCCTATTCAGGGGTGAATAAAGATTAAATAAGTAAACGTCAAACGTGAAGTGCGCAAACGAAATTTTGCTCCTTAACAGTTATTGCTATATACATGTAATAGTTGAAATATTCTATTGCTCAATTTTATGCAAAGATAAATTACGCCTCGCATAAATAACACTCACGCCAAAGTGCATGTTGTATCTGTGCATTGTAAAATTAATTGGAATTAATAATTACATGAATCAAAAATGAGCAACCCTTTTATGGGATGTCATCTTATCTGATCCCAGAAATGTCGCCAAGAAAATCATACGAGACAAAGAAAAAAAATGGTTAATTAAAAACATGCACTCATAAATTACAATTCACTAATAGATTAATTTTTTATTTTGAATAATCGCGTGAAACACGCAGAGCTCACGTCAAGTACCTTGGAAATGAAAGTCTATTTTTTGTGCTATGAATAACTTCTTAATTGACGAAATAGATGGTTCATGCGTGTATGCGTGCGTGCAATTATACACCATTTCACAATTTACACTAAAATCAGCGTATACGCGCTGATAAATATTAATAATTCAAATAAAACTTTAATAAAACCTAATTAAACGTTATGAGAAACACCGATTATTTGCATTATTTATCCGAATCACAAATTTTAAAAAAAATTCACTTAATGTAACACATTTGTACAACACTAGCAAAGTTCCACGAAAAATCTGCACGCCTTCACGCAGATCAAATCAAATTTTGATATGGAATAATAAGCGAGTGTGAGAATAACTACTTGTAAATTTTTCCGATTCTACGAACAAAGAACTGAAAATCTTGCATTACTTTAAAATCATTTGTTTTCGCTTAACCAATTAAAATCGATTTTTCGTATGCGTTTGATTAAAATTATATCATCTTTTAACCCACGCATTATGATCATTGCCCACGTTTTATTGTTTGTGGATTTGAGGGAAAAATTAAAAATTCTGCATTTTGCATACATGCGCATGGTATATGCCTTCTTACAGATATTTATGCAGAATCGAATAGTATTCAAAATAATATCGATCTCAAATTATATAGATATAATGCTTAATGAGAATGATTAGATATTTTAATCAATTTATCAAGAGATTTCGACAGTATTTCTAAATTAGTCTCATAGACCGATAATAATTATATTATTAGATTTGCTCCGGGCGCCATTACTCAATGGTTCAATTGTTAAAAATATAAGCCTACTCACGGAAAATTATTTTCTATATCCAATCTACAAAAAAACACCCGGACAACTTGCGCTATTCAATTCTGTAAACTAGTCTATCATTATTGTACTGCTGTAACGGATTCTAGCGCAAATTTCGACCTATAGAAATGTACGATTTGGTGCATGTACTCCAATTTACACAGTTTTCCTTTTCTAGAATTTGTTCATGGGTTCTTTTGCAAAAACTGGTTTCAATTTGAAAAACTAAGAGAACCAAACGAAACAGCCTAAATTCTTATGCGTTTTTCTTCCTTTTTTTGTAAAGACTTGAATTCATTTGTGCAATTTATTGTGATGCATAATAATATACATTGATAATATAAATTTAGCATCGATTTTTCTAAGTAAAATTAGGTTTGGACCAATGAGCCAGGTTCGAATTTCTTAGGACTAGACAAATCAGTCCAGGTCTTTTGGTTCAGAACTAAAGGTCTGATCCAGAAGATCAATACATACGTGAGCTTGCCGATGGTAACGTTATTGGATAAATGGGCACCAGGAACAGTCATAGTAATCCTTTTAGATAATCAAATTTATTAAATAAATCAAGATTTTCTAGTATAGTCACGGCCACTTCGGCCAATAAAATCAAGAGAAATATATTCAATCAAGCCAATTTAGCAAAGAGAAAGTATTAGCGAATTCGGCACTATTGTTTGCGAATAAATCAGTAGAAATAGAAAAATATCGGCGACAAAGAATCCAAAAGCACATAGAATTAGAACGGCCAGTTAAAACTCGCACATGACTATTTACGTTTTATTATGATATAAAGAGTCTTAATAGGTTTGTTAACTCAACCTTTAACTTTTCCGAACTCAATGCGCGAGTTTGGAGATATGGCTTGACTACCTAAATTCCGCGAGCTATGCCAATACATTACCATCTATTTCTCAGAAAATTCCACCTTTCTAAATAAAGTTGTGTGTGTTTTTAACATAATAAAAGAATATGCAAATTTTGAGATACCTAACCTATCAATCACGAATAATTAATTTTTCAACTACATTTTATTGATATGTAAGTTATGCTCACATTCACATGCTTATTATTGAACTTTTTATATGTTGTTAATAAAATATCAATAAATTGTAGAAATTGACGGAAATTGTTCTAATCTCTTATTTTGTCGATTTTTAGTGTTGACATGTTTTTCCTTTTCCCCCAAATTTCTTCTTAACATAGCCACACCACTCAAAAAATTTAGATGTCTTTAATAATAAAATGCCACAAATTCTAATCGGAAATTTTTTATTACAAATAAATGCTAATTAATTTGTCGTGTTTTTTTTTGTTCGAACCCAAATCAGCCACAAGAGTGAATGCAAGCCCGTGCGCGATTTTGTTTGAATATCTTTTCCATTTCCGATTTAACATGGGAAAATTCTTTGATGGAGGAAATATTATGTTGGAACATGTCAATTTATTAAAAATCTAGGCTTATGCAAAAAATAAACAACATAAGTAGAATTCAATTTGGGCTATGTAATTGTTGCTATAAAGAGAAATGCGCAACTAATATTTTTTTCGAATAACGAGTTTTTTTCCTGTATAAAAGAAGTTAAAGTTTTCGGAAAATAAGGGATTCCTCTCTAACTTGAATTTATTTTTGTTTATCAAAGCACGTCCGTGATATATTAGGAAAATAGTAATAAATGTTATGCAAATTAAAATGAAAGCCACGTAAACAAATCGTAATTTGATCGGTCGTCTATTGCAACTTATTTCAGAGCATCGTGTATTTAGACTAATTTCGTTATCGATTTCTATATTAGGAAATGTTTTTATGAGAAGCGTAAAAAATTTAATTTTTAAATGTCGTGATCTTTATTTGTTGATTCTTTGAAATAAAGTTCTCGGCTTTTTAATAATATAAATAAAAAATAATCAGAATATTGACATAGCCTCAATACTGTCAAATGTATCAAATTTAAAGTACCAAATAATAAGCACGAATAATAGAATGCAAAAGAAATGAGATACATAAATTTTATAGACCCGTTAAAAGCCTTTAAAGCCAGTAAATTACTCATGATATTGTTTTTATGTTAAATGTTTATTTCCGCATTAGATAAGACGCCATAAAATAAGAAAAATATTAGTATTAGTATTAGTATTAGTATTAGTATAATATTAGTATTAACATTAGTATTAGCATTAGCATTAGCATTAGTATTAGTATTAGTATTAGTATTAGTATTAGTATTAGTATTAGTATTAGTATTAGTATTAGTATTAGTATTAATATTATTAATAGCATTATGTTTTTTGCTTACACTAATTTTTGTTTAATGTATTTAATCTTCTCTCTTAGTAGATACTAATTGTGATGGGATTGACAATTGGGACTTTTTAGCTCAAATGGACGAAGAATACGCAGCATTAATGATGCAATGGGAAAAGTGTAAACAGCATCAACCATTATCTTCTAATATTCTCCAAGCTTCTAGCCAAGTGCAATCGCAATTGAAACCACAACAAGAAAAAAGAACACGAATTTGAGTTAATTACACTTCAACTCAAAGTATCAATTCACCAATCCCTCCTCTTTTCAATCAAGACAACAGCAACAGCAATTACTTTTACAAGCAGCATCGTATCAACAACAAAACTCATCATCATTACCAAAGACCTTAAGCTATCATAATCCTGGTATTTCATCGTTATTATCAATTATACCACAGAGACGACCATTAACTTCACCAAACATTAAGCTGTCATCAACACTTGAAAATGGAGAATATTCGTCAAGAACAATATACAGAACGAATATGACAACTGAAAATAAACCACATTTTTGTCATCTGCATATACAACATGCGTAATAAAATGCATAACAGAAAATCATTTTATTGTGGGGGGAAGCATATTGCTTTGCTCAAGATGATTTAGATTCGTAAACAAATCAAGAATTAGCTTACCAAATGTATGCTAGCATAATCAAAAGTATATTTGGTAAACCAATTTTTGACTTCCAATTATGTACTTAAAAGTCCTAGCCAAAAGTAGCTGACCAGCTCTAAATTTAACCAATTTGACAAGTTTTATTGCGAGCTCGATAAAACAGTTTTAGTATTGTTAAAAATCAATAATTGAAAAACACAATTTCAAATCAGACTAAATTTGATAAATTGTCCAAATATAAGACAATTTTTTATCAAACTATCATTATCCTTATGTTTAAATGTGGCGAGACACTTATCCAGAATTCAAATATTTTATTTATCCTCATAAATGCTAAGCGAAAATGATACTTACAGCAGCACAAAATGGCAAGCTAAATTGACATGTGATAATTAATTGATTGAAGCAGACCAAAGTGAAAAATAAAAAATCGGTCATTAATCGAATATTAACATTTTTCCCTCACATGGAACCCATTGAAATTTATTAGTTTGCCAACAAGAAGGTATCATTTCATAGCTAAATTATCTTTATTTCTCTCATAGGTTTAAACAATATAGAAAGCTAAGCAAACATCCGTAATCATATGAACCTTCAAAACAAACATATCGACAAAATAAATAACCTTTTGGCGCTTTTTGTACACAAGGGTAAATAGAAAATCAAAAATAAAACATTTCGATCAGTCAATGAGATTTTCTGAAATTAAACTAACATAAATAAAAAAAATTCCAATATGTCGATACGGTTTCATTTTTTTTTTTTTAGTTGTGACTCATTTTATTTTTTTTTAAACCTTGAAATTCAAAAGAATTTCAACAAATATAAATGAATAGAATTTACACGTGCTTTCCCACCCTGTTTTTTAATGTGATATAAGCGAAAATGAAAAATCGTCACATATTTCGTTCTTTTAAAACTATTTTGAAATTCAGTGCTTTTTATGAATTACAAATAAATTCTTCCGATTGAGTCTGTAGCCAAAAAGCCTGATATATTATTGCTCGGAAATCTCAATGGGACAATTATATGGGGACGACAAAAGTACATCAATACACACCGAAAAAGTATAATTTTAACTCCGAAGAGCAAGGGCGTAAATTTATAATGTTAAATGAAAAATTTGGTTAAACAAAATGTTTACGCCAATCTCTTAAAGCCACGAAGTTTTTCTCAATCTAATTATGTACTTATTTAGAATACATCCGTTCCTATCCTAATTCACTACAAGATACTTAGGTCTTATCATAATAATGATCTTTTAGAAGTTTCGCATTAAATGGTGGTGTTACGGAACTCAATAACATTTAACGATTGAAATTTAGCTTTTCAGAAAAAACTAGAAGTTTAATTTAATAAATCAGTGATAGAAATGAAAAATCCACTCGTATCACTAATACGTGTTCTGAAACTTAAATCTATTTTAACATCAGGAAAACTTGAATGAAAACCTTTTGAGCGAAAATGAAGACTCTGTTCTTTACGCAAATTCTTGATATATAAATGATTTTGTTACTCAATAATTCCTTTGGGGTTAAAATTCATCTTCGATTCATTCTTTAGTAGTCACCCTTACATTCTTTGGATACGTGAATTACGCCATTGTTAGCGGAAAAACGCCAATCCCATAAATGCCCTCAATGTCATGTTAAAGTGCATCCGATAGCATGTGCCTTCGATACAAAAAAATTATTTGACGTGATTTTTTATTGACAGTGATGGTAACGTTTTGATCCTTCGATCTCTTACGTGCACAAAATACGCCAATGTTTCATAATTGAACATGTGTCCGGCCATAGACTTTTAGCACTATGAATAGTGAGCATGCGTGCATATTGCATTTTAGTTAATTGAGAAGCCAATCAATTTAAAATATTGTCATTGAAAAATTTGATAATTTCATCCAATATCGTGTCAAAATTTTGGCATGTATCAAAATACCTGTGGATTCTAAGTGATTTGAATTTTTAATTCTACGTATACTTTTTCATATTGCGTACATTTCCACAATGTAATCAAGTTTTTTACGCATTGAAATATTTGGGGTTCGTGCGGAGAATTTATAGTTAATCTTGATTAAAATCTCTAATTTTTGAAATCGTGAATGAAAATTTAGTGTGATGCTTTCCTTTACCACAAACTTTAATTATTACACAAAGTTCCCTACGATAATTTTTGTACGGGTTAAGATAGGCAAAGGAACGTAAAAATTCATGACATGTTTATTTTAATTTTATTAATGTTCCTTGGTTAATGATTTTCTTTTTTGGCACATGTGCTGCTTTCCAAAAGATTTTATGATAATGGCATATAAAGCTCATTAAGTTGTACGGTGATAGCGGGGGGACAAAAAAAATGGGCTGAAGCATGCGATATTAGCGGCGGCTTGGATATTATGTGATGTGTGATACAGCATTATCAAAATCGATTGCTGCACATTCATTTGCACACGACTTTATCTAATCAATTTTAAAAAAAACCGGTTTTTTTTACTAAATGTTAAATTTGTGGTGGAAGAATTATTGGATTAAGTTACAATACAACCTATCATTATTAATAGTAGCAGGGCACGTTTTTATACCTAACTTTTGTATAGCTTTATCACCAGACGCAGGCGTTACGTTCCAGTATAATTGGACGTAGCTTTGGTGAAATCGTTACATAGACGAGTTAAACTATCTTTAAATTCGGGTGATAAAGGAGGCTTTGTGATGTCAAGCTTTTATTAAATTAATGAAAGGTTATTTATTATTAAATAGTTTTATACTAGTTATTAGGTGTTATGTATTTGATTCAAACAGGGTTCTTACAAATAAGATTAAAAATAAATAAAAATTCCTTCCGTATCCAGCAAATGTTAATTTTGTGGTTGATTATAATTTAGGATAGTTCTTTCAGTCAAACTAAGCAGAAAGTCACGCAATTCCCGTTCTAACAGCATAAGAGAGAATACACGTGTGGTTATCATATGTTTTAAGATAGTAATTTTAACTAACGAATATTCGAGAATATTGATGCATACGTGAGTTATTTATTCGAAGCGAATTAAAATCTCCACCGAGTTTAACCCGAAAGTTTCGGCCCTTTTTTTCTCATGCAATCAGATTTGAAGCAAAAGAATGAGGCGTACAATTTTTCCATTGATGCCATTGCCAAGCCCGTTACAAAAAATTTAACTTAATATAACAATAAATTCTCAAGATTGATTACTTACATGTCCTGTGTTAGGTTAGAGTTTGTGTGTTTGTGCGTTTAGAATAACTTGTTTCTTACCAGGACGAAGGTATGAATTTCTAATACATGTTAAATTTGGTTATTTTGCATGATTTCATTAATTTTTTAAAATTAATCAATATTTCACTTTCAATTACAAGGTCAAAAAACCCGTTTGTCACATTTCTAAGGAAATTTACAATATGGTAAAAACACACCCTTGTTGTATTTTCTTTTGAACACGTCATTTTTTTACCACATGGTATCATCAAAATAACACAAACACAAGAATTTTTACCTAAATTTCGTATTCAAATGCACGAAATTTATGAACGTTAAGTATCGCAGAGTCCAGGCCTGTTGGTTGTTTTATGTCTTGGAATTTTTTAAAGTACAAACTCGTGTCAAATAATTAAGATAAATAATATATGAGAAAATTTAGAAAAATGAAGTTGGTCAAACTTTGATTTCTGGGATATATTTGGTAACTACATAGTAAAATTCATACACGTATCTATTTTGTTTAATCGACCGTTTTTTTATTACATAATAAACCTGATTGAACACCATATGAATCAGCTCAGGGTGTTTTGAGGCTGCGCAAAAGCTGCAAGTTCACCAAAAATTTGGTAACCCTTTTTTTTTATCGGATAAAACTTTATCACCAGAAATCTTTTGATATCACACTATTCGAAACCTTTTCCAAAGATTTAAGGGATGGTCATGATTCATCATTGCAGGTGACCAAAAAATCCTTGTTATCTTAACTAGTACAAGATCTTTTGTGGGTCGATTTTATCCAATTTAAACAATAGTATTTCTTATCTCATTTTTGCATTCCGGAAAATCCCCACGCGATACTTGCACTACATACATGTAGCGTGATGCCACTAGAGAGGCCGCTAATATTTCTTCCTTCTTAGTACAATCCTCGTGGCCTATTATCACCTCAGCGATTATCAAAATTCTGAGCAATTGAAGAAAATTAAATACACTCATATATCATGTACACACGAAAAACACTGTGTGAGCGGATGGGATTGAATTCCTTATCTTATCATTAATTTACCTGCCAAAAAATTAAAAATACGTTATCTTCATTATGCTTGTATCCATTCAACCCTTCTTATCGCTTATCAAATATGCCAACTGCTTTTAAACTTCGAAGATTTAAAAATTTAAAAAAATTACACGGATCTCCATCTGAGATTATCTCCCTAGATTATTTTTGTGTCTCCTTCCTTTGTAAAGAATTCATTTAGCTGTATTCAATAATCAGCTATACGTGTTTCTATTTACAGGTTCAATTAAAATATACACACATCACTCTTAGTCCTTTCAACACGTATTTGCAATTCTGTTTAGCGGTCTTTTTTAAATAACGATTATCATGATGACGTTAAGACTAATTGAAAGCAGGATATCGATATGTTTACTTTTTTTCCGTGGGATTTCCCCTATGTCCATTCGCGAGTATACTAAAAAGGTTACTGTATTTTCTTTTTACCTAATAGATCGATGATAATCTCTATGGAAAACAAGGGATGAAGGGAATAAATCAAAAATTGAGATTCTAGACCCTATTGTTTCTTCAAAGACATTGTAGTGATTTCAACTTTCGAATATTGTTTTTAGTGATGTCATTTACATTTAATCATTAGCACGTGATTAATAACGTATAAATTAAATACTGCGTACGTACATGTATTGATACGCACTATATACAGTATGATAAATATATCATCACACTTATTTGCTTGTAAATATTTTCACAAATTACATAATGATTTGCTACGCTTGACGGAATAACCGTAATTTTGAAATTCATATGATGCTATTTTCCATGCCTATGAACGACGAAAGTTACGTTTGAAGTTTCATCGTTTTTGAGAGGATGCGATATAAGTGACACACATGTTGTCCTTGATGACTGGAAAATACACGCATGATAAAAAGGCGACTTTTATTATTATGCATATTACGGTGTTGTTTCATGGTTGAGATATTTGAGATATCAGCGAGAGTAAAAGGATCGATTGTATTTTTTAAGGTTAGGGTTCCCAAGTCAAAGGAAATCCAATAGTCACGAAATTACTGTCACTCTCGAAAAAAGAAGACAGCTAAAATCACACAAAAAAATGATATGCAGCTTCGAGTTTCAATTGGTGATCGATCATATCCCACAGCCTAATTACGCCAAATTATTAATTGAAACTTAAATTCAAACGAGCGTCGATTGGAAAATGGGGAAATAAAATTTGGGAGGGAAAACTTGATCATCGTTTTTTGATGCAAAACCTCAAACATGAATAAGAGGTGCTAAGATCGCTCAAAAAAGAACCGAAACTAAGGAGTTTTTGATGCATAATGATTATCTGGAAGTTACTTTAAAGAAAGAGTTCATTTAAAATATACGATAACACAACAGAAAATCCTAATTAATTATTGTGGACATAATGATAATATTCCAACACACCTTGTGTACGTTTCTGTCTACACAAATAAATCAACACCCGTTCAGACCACAAATATTTTTCTGTTTGTATAAAAAATTTACAACGGTGACACAAACAAAACATTGGTTTGTTATATGTTAAAACTTTATCTGGATTTTCGATTAATGTCAAAAAATTATGACGTATTTATTTTTTATTAAAAATAATAACGGAAAATTGTACGTAATGTATGTATGTATGTATGTATGTATGTATCTACCTATGCATGTATGTATATTCAATATATTTCAACCAATGTGTCGAGAATTGCAAAAAAGATTGTGGTGTTTTGTAATGTCACGTCACGGGAAGGGGGATTTTTTTTAATTATTCCTGCCTCTACCCTTAAGATAAAATCAACAACACATGGAATTTCATTTCATTACACGAGTGTTACGTACGAAATGAAGATTATTAAAATCAAATCGAAGCATTTTTCCCTTTTTAGTCAAAGAATTAAAATAGATAAATAACTTGTTATTCACATTTAATTCAGCTTAAAACATGTCCATTATGTGGCATGGTAGTGCTCGAGAATGTGAAAAAAGACTTAATTTCAGTATGGAAGTTTTTAATTGCAAATTCCTTCACAATGGCACAAATCTGGTTTGAAACAAGTTCTGGTTTAACGAGATTCACCTCGCATTTTTTCTTACACATGATCTCTTTGTGATTTATATTAATATATTTGGTTTGGGGAAACCATAGATTTGATATTGATACTATTCATGATCAAGGAGCGGTTGGAATTCAATGTGAGAGAACAGAAAGTTTTCTTTGTCAATCTTACCCTGAAAAGTGCACAATTGTCAGCATTATTTGTCGAACAAAGTAAAATCACTAATTCATATTTGGCAATTATTGTTGCAAATCCTCCACAATAGGTAAAGAGGGATTAGGAGTTGACAATTCACGCTTCCATAATTCGAAATTCTCTGCAGTTGATTCTTGCATATTTATGCAAAATTTGAAATACTCATTTTTTGCAAGCAAGCCAAGCATTTAATCTTTTATTTATTAAGTCTTTAATTTTGCTATTCAAATAATCTTTGATCAAATGTACTTTCATCAATTACGTACCTCGATTTAGCATGATAAATAAAAATTAATAATAAAAGGTGGGGGGGGGGGGGGGGTTGCTACATATAATACCCGCATAAATAAAAACATGTACCTTATAGATTAAATAATTTAATTCAATAAGTGAGGGTCGAAAAAGCATTGTCTAAATTTGGCCCATAATAACAAGCAAAAAAACCTGTCAATGATATTTATTTGATTACATACTTTAATGTCGTTTCACAATCCACGTAGAAAAACAAAGACGAAACATTGTGATACAAAATCTATCCTAAAACAATACACAAAAATGCATACGTTCATTCAGAAAAACAGGCAAAAGACCAAAAACCATTTCTCGAAAGATAATAAATAACCTGTTCTTGATCATCACAAAATCGGTGGTAATTTCGTAACGTGCGTGTTACACTTCCACGTGCACGCGAGAAAACGCATCATGACAGTTGAACACGAACACGCGTCATAATTGAATCATGTTAATTATATCACCAAAAATGGACATTTGTGGTGTTCCGTAATTATTACACTTTGCAGTGTTTCTCTGGGAATACGCTATTCTTCAAATAAAATTAAATATTGATTTTCTTTATTAAAATACCAAAAATTTGTTTTTAAAACTTAAAAATTGTTCATCGTCGCAGATCCTTTCTTTGAAAAAGCATTTACCGACTTTTGAAACAATGCTCTATGATTAATTACATCATCATGTAAATAAACTTCCCATTATTCCATATGATTTTCGCACCAACAAAAACAATAATGCAAAATTTAAAGACACAATCACGCCATAAATAGGAAAAGAAAAAATCTTTCCGAACATTCGCATGATCGTTGATTCTCAACCCATTTCTCAGGAAATGACGATTGTGTTTCATACTATTATTTATTAAGTGGGGTTGATTTTTTTCATGATTAAATAAAGGTGATAAGGTGATAATTTCAAGTTCATTGATACCTGCAATTATTAAAGATGACGAAGATACAGTATATAATATATTGATTAATGTACGCACAGGTAGTTTTTTAATCAATGTGTGTTGATTGAGACTGCAAATAAGTGCTAAAGCATATGAATAATATACAGTAAACCAATATATATTATAAAATATGGTTTTCGAACCTTGATTTTAAGCTTCGTCGTTGTTCACCAAATTTATACATATAAGATCATATAATTTTACATATTATATGCTATTAGTTTATATGCATATAAGCAAAAAAAAAAAATGAGATGACATTTTCTCCTTTCGAATAACATTTCAAAGTTATAGGCGTAATCTAACGCGTGTTAGTATGCAGTGGCGTTTTTAAGCTTTATTTCAGACAGATCGTTTGTCTTTTACTGTGTGTTTGTGATACAAAAAATGATCATATGCATGAATGAAGTACGTGTATACTAATATAACGGCTATTTTTTTCGTTGCGAGAGACTTAAATTCAAACAGTGTATTAGAAACTCTATTATTATTTTTCTATAACCTATAAATAGCATATAACATGAACTTTCAGCCTAACCAGGCATCCTTTTGAATCATTTCTTACTTCACAATTTTTCTGCTCCCCCTATCTGTCAAGGAATCCCTTAATCTCTTGCGAAATTACTCACAATCTCTACGTAATTTCTTTGTCGCTCTAAACCGGTTCCAACCCCAAAAAAATTCCCACCAGGCAATTCTTACAAATCAATAAACCTTAAAGTAACGATAAAACAATAGATTTTTGCTGACCAATTTTCAAAAGGTGAAAAAAATGTATACTCAGGTTTTTCACACGTTAGCGCCACGATAGTTCCCCGTTTGCGCGTGTTTCCTTACTTTGTAGGATCCCGCGCCGGACTTTTCGATGAGAATTTGAATATCTTTTGTCAAATGTATTCGATTTACTCACGATTTCATCAAAAAAGACAATTGAATAATGAATGCTATCAGGTATGCTTCATTACCAAGCATTTTTTTTTTACTAAAAAAAGAACCCAACGGAAAAAGGAAAACGTTTTAATGTCATACAACGTCAATATTATTGCCTAATTAAACCATTGATCCTTTAAAAGATATTTTACTCAAAATTAGAGACCATTGCCTTTTGAAATCACATGCCGATTTTTTATTTATGTTACATGAAAATTTTCTTGATTGATTGATTAACGCTGCTTGCTTATTTTGATCGTCTGTCTAATGCCTTGCCTCTTTTTGTTATTCAAAAGTTGGAAAAAAAAATAATCAAAATAATCGTGCAAATAAAAAGCTTGATTATTTGTTATTTCTTTGTTTTACTTACTAATAGTGATTTGTTTTTCCGGATTGTTGTCCAATGGCAAAAAAATTTTAATAATTGCTCCATTTGGATATTTCTTTTGACCTTCCTTTAGGCTGATCGGCGAAATCAAGTTTTCATATGCTTTTCTTTAGCGAACTTCGCACATTTCATAATTGAGATGACCAATCATAATCGCATGAATCACATTAAACGAAATTACCCCTTCTTGTGAAAAGATCGTATTGAGAGAAATTGTTTCAGTTTGATTTGATTGCCAAATGGTTTCGTATTCGATGTTCTTTGATGAACTTAATCTTATCGATATTTCACTTCAATAACGTGAAAAGGAAAGACTGGAATCTTTTTACATAACAATATTTTTTATATCTACTAATTTGATAATGATTCTAATATGCATGTATTACAATGTTATTGAAGATGGTTGTAAAAGTAAAGAAAATAAAGGGTGAAAAAACCCGCTTACACCTCGTATTTCAAGAGGCAAAAATTGATTTCCGCGATCGAATTCTATCCTAAAAGATAAACTTCATTTTAAATATTTTTGATCTTGGTGTTCCATTGGTTGATATCGTTGAGCATATGAAAGAAATTAAAAACTACATTTTTATTTGAAATATTTTTTCGACAGTATCCGAAATTTTTCCGAAACAATCAGCATCCTCTAATTGATGAGTTTAATCGCTTGGCACGTTTGGCTCACTCAAACTCACTTTTGTACAAACATTCTATCAGTGACAACAGTTGCAATTGCAAACCAAAGAGTCGTCAAGGGTCTCTCTCATTCAAATTTATCAAGTGTCTGATCTATTATTACGCGGCAAATTTAGATCTTTTGATGGTTGAGCACAAAAGTGGAAAAACTTTGATACCCATTAGATTTCATTCCGATAAACGTGGATTACTACTTGTAATATTCTTAGGCGCCTAACATTTACCAATTATAATAATTTCCTGGGTAGTCAGCTTTACTATTTTTCTTTAGTAAAATCTATCTTGTTATAATATTACAAATTATTAATTAATTATTAAATTTTCATATTTTAAATTTTTATTGATGTCTTATATGCTTATCATTTTTTATTCATGCTAAAAAATATTTTTAATAATAAATATTTATAATTATTGTGATATAATTATAAAGTGAAGGTTTATAATCACATTTTCGAGAAAACATTGTGATTATTTGCAAGGTTTATATGTATAATGTATTAAAATTTTTCAATTTGAATTTTTGGTTGACTTTAAAAAAACTCATATTAATTATAACCTGACACAGTATAAAGACACAAAGTACAGGATCAATGCTAAGCTTCGGGGATGACAACACACGTTTTTTGACAGGAACACACCTGTATTTCTTTTTACACATGAGCGTTTCAAGTTCTCTGCTTCAAATGACAGACGAATTCGTACACAACCTGTCGTTAAGTTCTTTGATGGTTCTTTTCCTCAACACTCAGTCGTCAGAAATAACAAATATAAAACATCTTGATGAATTGTTCTCTTATTATTTTCTTTGAATGATAACTTTAAGGTGATATGTTTCAATTGAAATTAATTAAAGAACGAAAACGAAGTTTGCATGCGTGTATCAAGATTTTTTTATTTATGATCGGAACTCCCTGAAATCTCTTTGTGGCGCTATATTCCACCCCACGTGTCAATATTCCAATTCTTTCGATTTTGTATTAGCAATAATAATAATATATAATAATAATAATAAAAAGGAGAAATAAGATTGTTTATTTATCCGCTCGAGGACATAATTTTTAGCAAGAATCAAATCTCGTAGATAGAATTTAAAAAGTTACACAAAATCACGCCAAAGTCTAAATTTTAAATTTGCGAGCATTTCTTTCAACACGTGTTGTCACATCAAGCAATTAAAATACATGTATTAAAAATATAGTTGCACATTTGACTAAATTTGATTGTTTCGTCCAATCATACTTCGCAAACGATCTTCGTGATGATGCAAGGTAAATTACTGTACCACGTAAAGGATATTAAATGATTTAACAAAATTTATTAACGTTATCACATTTTGACACGACTCGCAAGCAATTATCGCGTATTTTAGCAATGAAATCGCTCGCCTTATAAGATTCGGCTGGTCTGGATCGTGAGGTTGGTTAGTAAGCAGTAATTCTTTCGTCATTAATTTGTTCGTGATAAATGAGTAAGTTGGTGTGTTCATAACGAAGAAAATCTCGCGAGAAATTCCGTTTATTGTATTTACCACATCTAATGCTATATTTTAATTGCAATTATTAACTTCCTATTATTGTTATTATTATTATTATCATCATCATCATCGATTTAACATGCTAACGTGAGAGGAAGATGCTGCGGATTTTCATAGCACGAAAAATTCGTCCAACCGAAGTGTGTGATCATTTATTGTTTAGCATCATCATCACATATTGTTATCAGAAAACAAAAACATCAATAATTAAATGACGATATGTAAATAATCACACAAAGATCCTCGAAAAAATAATATTAGAAGATTTTTTTTGACAACACTTAATAATTTTCTATAGTAAATAGTAAGAACGAACACTCAATACACACACAAACAACAAATATTCATGCCATGTCAAAAGGAAAATAAAAATCATAATAACAAACAATTCGAATGAGTAAACCCTGAAAGTTGAAAAAAACAATATTTATTTTGATATTGTTACGCCCAATTTCCATCAACTAAATTTCCCGCTCCAAATATTACCCTTCCAAATATTATCCTTTCCCTTCCAAATATTATCCTTTCCAAACATTACCCTTCCAAATATTAACCCTTCCAAATATTATCCTTTCCAAATATTACCCTTTCCAAATATTATCCTTTCCAAATATTATCCTTTCCCAGTCATAAACGAAAACCCAAACAAATAACAATAACAAAAACAATAAACAGAGATGAGGAAAATATCGTGCTAATGAAACGATTAAAATGACATAAATAAAAGGACCCCTAGGAGGAGTTTTGAAAATTTTCTTTCTTTCTTTTTCATCTCTCTCTTTCTTTTCCCCTCTTCTCGCTTCTCTCTCTTGCGCAAATGCCTTTTAGCTAGGTGTAAAAAGTCTGTGTGTGCTCTCGCTCTATCATTTGCGTGTTGATGATTTGATAAGATGATTCAATTTTGGTAACTTGGCACATGTGAGATAATGAGAAAATTCGATGTGTCTGATGATTCGTAAAAAAGTATCATCTATGTATCATCTCATAGAGTATTCGTAAGCAACGATATAAAGATGTGAAATCATTATAACCATTATCCATATTGAAGAGAGTTAATCGATCGATAATCTTCTAATGAGAACACATTCATGGTTATTATCTTCAAAGAAACAACCTTTCTTCGCTATCATTTAGAATTCTCAGATTCCCTCGATCATCTGTACTACATTAAACATTGTACTTTTTCTTTGTCTCAGATCTCTCAGATCAGCATGAGTAGAGTAAATAATAAAACTAGTTCATAGAAAAGGCGACGACGATTCATATACATCTTCGTTCAGGCGTCGAAATTTATGAGCTTGTACATAAAAACGTTCGTCTTTTTGATTCCACGCTATTAAAATAGTAATATCGACATCGATCATTTGAGAAATTTATATTCCGATTTCCATTATTTGAATTATTGTGGTGTAAATGCATTGACTCACTCGCATTTTTGTGCTAAATCTTAATAAAAATGATGGAAAAAAAATATTCTTTTCCTCCATTACATAATAAAACGGGAATGACAATAACTTATTGAAATATGTTGTGAGTATTGGGAAAATGAGGGAAAATGGCAAATGCATTTGATTGTCATTTCCCATTTTCCAATTACTCACCCCCATTTGTAGAAAGCCGAAAAAAATTCTCACATCAGCGTCAGCACCAATATCAATCAATATCTTTTGGCTTTTGTTTAAAACCAAGGAAAATAAGGAATCTGACAGACGGCAAAACTATTATTAATATTGCCTGGATCATGATGATGACGACTTTTGTTTATTTTTTCGGCGGAAAGCCCAGTTTAAGCTGTATATATTTATCAAAGAAAGGGTAAAAAAAGGACGATGCCCGAAGAAAGTCAAAACTATAATGCATAAAATAAATTGCTAATCAGACGAGAATCTTTGTTTAAAGATAGCGCAGCATCACATCAGCAGCGTGCCTTTTACAATAACAACGGATGCCATAACCCGCAGACTTTCAAAATTACTGAGGCTTATTACCATAAATGCTGGGACGGACTGGGGCGACGTCTTCTGTCAAAAGAATACCCGAAATAAATTTTCTCACAATATTATACGTGTTTTTAAGGGGATATCACTAAAAAAAATTATTAAGTTCATGCACATAACGACTGAAATCTTTATTTTCGTATCATAATTTAGATGAGATCAGCAAAAAAAAAAAAAGGAATTTCATCACATCCATATTTAACGCTAAAAATAGAACAATATTAACCAATGTCAAAAAAAAAATAAACAGAAATTTGAGAATGATCTATCTTTATCTTTTTGTTTATCAAAATAATAAAACATCTCAGTAAAAAATTAAAAACAGCAACGGCCATCAAAGGATATTCTCCCGCGATATTCTATTTCCTGTTTTTCGGCAAACTTTTATGAATTCATTCTCTTGCACGTTTCCAAACCACAATTTGGATATCAGAAGAATGAGAAAAAAAGACGCACGTCTAAAACAACAGGCGCATTATACTGCTCAAAACGCAGGAAACAAGTAAATAACTTGGGTTTCTTCATCAAAGAATTACCAGTTATTTCTGATAAATCTGTTATAAAAAAATTACCTTATTTGTTTCCTCTATAAAATTTACACGTGGTATAGGTCAATGTTAAGATTCATAAATTTCTATACATGTGTGAGAGAAACATTGAAAACCACTCGGAATCTATTGTTACTTTCTTAAGTAAATCCGTTCTTTTTTGACATTCTCGATTCGAAAATGTATCAATTGTTTTATCTTTTCTTTTTTGGTTATCTTTTATCTTTATGGTAAACACGTAAAGAGTCTCCCCTTTTGTCGCTAGAATTTTGATCCTTTAATGTCGTCGAATTTAGATGCAATGAAAAGAGGATTCCTTTCGCCACCCCTTAAGGGTACACACGATACGCACGTATAAAGTTGTCACCTATTAATATTTTCGGTGTGATACTTTGGATATCACAGTGACTGGAGAAATTATTAATTCTGATTTAACGTGGGCCACGCTTTAATAATATTTATTATATAATATATATATGTTATATATTTATTAATTTATATTTATTTTATTATACTTTATTTATTATATTTTATTTATTTATATATACAATCTGAGTATATTAAAGTAATAATTCAAAGTTTTAGTCTTTTCGCATTTCTCCTTTAATTGACAATACTATTTATTGTAAAATACACTGATTCAAATTCGGCGAGAAGAAAAGTTCCACGAACCATTTGTAATCATTTAACTATAAAAATGACAATAAATTCTTTTTTCTTGCTCTCTCACTTTTTTTGACGAGCAAAAAAAACACCACGAGACGAAAAACATCAACAATCAAATAAACAAAACATCAACAATAACCAGCAGCAACAACATTGGCATCCAACCATCATAAAAATCAGTTAAAAGGACATCTTTTCATTTATTCTTGATTTTCCGCGCTGCTTTTTTATCACAAAAAACCAACAAAAACAACAACAGCATACACACAGATAGACAGACAGAACACGCACGCACATACAAAATACAAAAGCAAAAAGAAAACAATTCAATCCGCGCAAGATAAAGCAAGATAAAAACTCTAGTTTCTCTCTTCAAACTTTTACCGCAAAAATTGCCCATATTCTATTTCCCGAATATATATACTTTTTACTGTAAATAATTATATATATAAAATCTTATCTTAAAAAATATATATATACATACAGTATATATATATATATATATATATATATATATATATATATTAATATTATATATACACACACACATAACTCTTTTGCTTTGAGTTTACTCAAACTCAGCATATATAAAAAATTTTTTTCATCAAATAATCTCTAAATAGATTCATTTCTTGATTTTTTTCCATATAAACCCTTCGTTCGATACCGTCTCTCGTAAAGAAAAAAACATCAACAACTTATACAACGCACACACAACACACACATTGATTCATAATCTACTAAACAAATAATCTATAATAATAATAATAACACAAAGATACTTAAAATAATTCACAATATTTCAGCTAGCTATTCAAGAGGAGACAAGAAAATGACTGAACTAGAAAGCACAAACCTTGTCGGTCTTTCGGACTGGTCATATCGTAGAAACTTTTACCAATCGCAACAAAGTCACCAGCACGCTTCTCAATTGACGCAATCACAACAACCACCACAACCAACTTCCCAAACCCCAACCCAACAACAACAACAGCAACAAACCCCCTCCCAACAAATTCACCAACACTATCAACACTCTCGAAATGTATTACCGCCGCTTAATGTACCTGTTACCACGAATCTTCCAAATTCCTCGTCTGTTAATAATTTAATGAATTCACAGCAACAACAACAATCATCGAACGTCGATGCAAAAATAGTAACCACACCAGCGGCCGCTGTTAATATCAATTCATCACTCGACGCATTCACGAATCCTCCTCGAAAAATGCCTGTAATCAACGGAAATAACAACAACAATAATAATTCACAACAGCAAGCTCAACAACAAAACAATAACGCAGTCAATAATCCAAATAACTCGAGTAATAATAGCAGCAATAATAATAATCAAACGCCAGCTACAAAAAATCCTCAAGATTTGGTTGTAGAGACTCATATCCAAGGAAAACCCCCGTACTCGTACGCAACTCTCATCACATACGCAATCACCAATAGTCCTAACAAACAGTTGACCTTGAATGAAATCTACAATTGGGTCATGGAAAATTACCCTTACTACAAAACTGCCGGAACTGGTTGGAAGGTAAATTTCTTTTTATTTTTGATCGAGAATGGTATCATTTGTCAGGAAATTGTTGAACTTTACTGATCATCATTCTTTTAATTTATCAATCTACAGAATTCTATTCGTCATAATCTATCACTCAATAAAACATTTGTTCGAGTGCCACGTCCCATCAATGAACCTGGAAAGGGTTCTTATTGGACGGTAGATTTTCGAGCAGCTGAGGCAGAGCAGCAACATCGGTCAAGGAGTCGTAACAACCGATCATCAAGCGATCCCACACCATACCGACCAGAAACATGGTATGATCCAAACCGAAGATATCGTGAATCAATGACAGCAGTACCAGAAATGGGAAATCGATCATACCATCTAGCACCGAACATGGTTAGCGATTACAATATACAGCAAAATTACTCGCGAGCAATACGCGCACACAGATACCCACGTCCAATGGGCCCATATATGCCACCTCAAGGAATTGATAATCAAGGTGCGATTCCAACACAAGGCGCAGGAATGCCCTATGGAACTGGCGGCATTAGTAATTTGACTGCTGTCACGAATTATGACATTTCATACGACCCCAATTCATTACATAATTCAGCTGCCCATGTCGACTCCCATCCTGGCGCATTTAACAATTACGGTACTCATCAAATCTACTCCTCTCCAATTCAAGCGCACACTGAATCAACAAATGGCCAAGTCGGTCATTCTTCATTTCCAAATCACGCGATGCACTCTCAAGGCGTAAGCGAATACGAGAATTTCAACACCTATCATCAACAGACAACTGCCGCATCAAGTGAACCACGATTTTAAGTGCCTCGGCGTGCACGAATTCTTTCGATGCATTATTGTTGTTTCTATCTACCCCTGTGTGGTGAACGAGAATTTTTTCGGATTTCATAAAAAACAAAATCAATTTATCATTGAAAATTGCATAGTTTAATTTTTTACCGATTTCTTTCAGTTTATTCTTGTATGTAGTCTTCATTCACCACATCAATAATCATTACATTAGAATGCGATTCAACGCAGTTTCACAAAAAAAAAAGCATTGATCATTAAAATCCCCATTTCCCATCAAAAAACGAGAGAATCAAGCATCTATTTTTTGACCCTTGATGGCTGAATTTGCTTCTCCTCTCTCTTCAAATACATGCATATAAAATATAAATACAATACACGCATCTATCTTTTCTCACGTATATATAGCACTTTCATTCTCATTTTCATGTTTGCAAAAAAAACCGCGTGCATACAAGCTCGAAAAAGATAATAGTTATCCCTGTAGTGATAATGACAATATTAAGCACACGAAACTGTTGTGTAAATGCTTTTTCATTTGGGGCAGATTTGGGATAGGGTTTCGGGTGGGTTGGGTTTTTGTTTCCTTTCACTTTTTTTTGTAATTATTCTTTTTGGTTTACTGAGCCTCTCAAGAATTTCCTTTGGACTGGTTCCAATTTTTTGCTGTAAAATTGTACCACTACAATTTACCATATTTTTTTTATTTTTTTATTCTTTTATTCTTGCGTTGGTATGTCTCAGCGATGCAAGGATTCTCTTACATAGTCATCCCCCCTCCCCCTTTCGTAGTATATAATTTTCACTATTCTGCTAATACGTAATACTACTACTACTATTACTACTATTACTACTACATAAATCTAATAATAATCGTAATGAGTGATTTGGCTGTTAAATGTGTGAATGATTAATCTAATAAAATTGAAAAATAATAATTTGTGATTGAAAAAAAATGATATGCTTTTTTGATTGGGAATGTTGGGCTGGCTGGTTGTGTGGATCGATTAAGAACTATTCATGCTAAGGGACGATTACGCGGCTAAGCACGATGTTCAACATCATAATTTTAAGTGCCGCGCCTTTCATTGACACCATCATCTTACGCCTTTTTGTTCATCTTTAAAGTTAAGACACATGCAACACCCGTCAAAAACCAGCTTTTGGTTTAGAAGAATCTACGTTCGTGCGACCGTTGGAGTGTGTGAAATTTCACTTTTGACATGTTTTACTAATCACGTATCTTTCATGCACATGCATTCATCTATTCATGCAGTTGGCGAAAAAATAAAGGGTTATCGCGCATCATCGCATGACAAAAAATCATGTTAGGTCAGAAAGATGTTATGTTAAAAACCAAGCGTGAGAAAAAGGTTAACTTCGCCGTTTTCTTGACGAAATCGTGAGAACCATCATCGCAATTTCTCCGAAAAAGATAGACGAATGCGACTGATCTGTTGGCTTGGTTGGATCTTCGCTGTAAACCAAAAGTGGATGGAAAATCATTCAACTCCACATTCCAATGAGGGATGACAGTTGTCGAGATCAGCATTAATCCGGTGAGACAATAAAATTTCCAAAAATGACGCCCACATCCCCTTATCAACGATGAGAGGATATCCTCTCCGTATGTGTGTCAGAAATGTGTGTTCCTTGCCCCTTTACGAGTTAATTTTTATGCGTCGATTTTGGCCCATGAAATTCATATTTTTGCATCCATTAATTGTTACGAAATTCGTTCGGATGTTTGTTTCCATATTTTTTCGCGTAATTGATTAATTAGTCCATTTTTGCGAAAAATTATCTAAGAGTTAAACACCAAACACAGCAGTTTATTTTTGCGTGTTCCGTAAAGAAATTGCATAGACCATGAAATTATAAATATCGAGATACAATTCCTATTGCTACACATAAAGCATTGATGTTGCATACACATAAACTAATTAACTAAAAAAAGTATTTAGCTCCATGGTCAGTACGTACTCTTCCACTTCTACTTGCATATCGAAAAGAACTCTGTTTAGTTTCAATTAGTTTTTGCATAAAAAAGAAAAAACGCAACGATTAACATTGCATGGGCGGCAGTAGCCAAACGATATATGCACTTACTTTGCATCTAGCACTATTAATGAGCACTAATGTATTTGGTGCTATGTTTCCCAGTTTTTTTTTGAACGTCAATTGATAAGTCTCGTGGCACATGCATTGCAAATCATTTTTTGTGATGGTGATAACAAAAAATCGTTCAAAGGAAAAATTCAGATAGATACATTTAATACATGCTAAATTTTTAATTACATATACAACGATCCATCCATCTGATTTAGAAAAAAATTTTTTTTTCTCTGATCTTTTTTTTTGTCCAGTATCCCAATTTTATCCATCCATAGATAGGGAATTTTAATTGGTTATGATCATTACTCCGACAGCATCTGATTGGTTATGATTTTTTTAGGTTGAACGTCACCGAATAATTAAATTTAGGTGAACAATCACAAAAACGTGCGATATTTTCTCACGGGTCTGCTCGTTAAATGTGAGTGAACGGTGCTCAAACTCTCAATCGTATGGATTAAGCCAAAGTAGATACTCTTTTTGTAAGAAACCCCACTTGTTCCTTAAAAAAGTCAAAACGTAACGTGCATGTTGTCAAATAATGAACGCCTCATTTAAAAAAAGGTTCAAGGGGTTACTGCGTCGAATTATTAGTGGTCAAACGCCATTAACCTACGTTTATGTTAATCAGATCATCAAAACTTGAACGCGTTCTAAAATTCAGATGCAATAATAGCCGCAAAGAAATCGGCGTACTTCTGTTTTTTTATTACTTAGCAACCAACCATCCCATATATCTATCTATCTATGTAAACCTATCTAGATACTTGTATATTTATACATATTTTTATACATGTATGTATTTTTCCTATTGAAAAGATCAGATCATACGCCAAAGATTCAATTTCATATGTTATGGAATCTCTTTTTCTTTTTTTTTTTTTTTGAAAATGAGGGAGCGAGTTTCTCGTATGCAACACGTCAATAGGAATAAAGAGGATGAAGATCTTTGTGCCAATCACCTCGAAGATGAATTAACAACCAACCCCAAATTTTCTTCCAGTCGCGTAAATAAAGATACACAAGGCAGATGGTTTTACAATCTTGAATTCCTATACACAGGTTTTTTTAGAGTTTCTTCGATTCTTTGTTCTCTCATATAAAATTCCTTTCACCAACTCGTAGCACGTAATACACACTTAAAATAAAGTTAAGTCTTAAAAATAAAAGATGCCTGTTACGCACACAGAGACTGGCATTAGCCATTTAACGCCAAACGGTTATCATAATCATTTTTATTAATAACCGTGTTCGTGTGGGTATGGGTCATGTGGCGTTCTCGAAAAATGAGTTCACCTTTCCTCCCATGGTATCGTGTGTGTGTGTGTTGTTTTTGTGTCTAAAATAAATTATATATGGTATAAAATACAATTGTTTCAATTGTTCTATTAGAGATATAGACGGGCTCAGCCTATAACAGATAACAATCTTTATTATTATTCAAAATACGCACTGCCTCTCACCGAATGTTAATCAAACGAAAAAAGCCATTTATCGAATGTTAATCAAACGAAAAAAAGCCATTCACCGAACGTTCTTCAAACGAAAAAGGTCATTAAGAAAGATAGATTCATCATGTCTTGTCTTTGCCCGCTTGCGTTTCTTGTCGTTTATCGATAGATTGCTAAGTTAACGACAATAGGATCTTAAATATTGATACGAAATGCCCGAATATGTGTTCTTATATACATATATGTAAATATATAAAAATATATATATATATATTTATTTATTTTTTACAGACACATATAGACACACATATAGATATTTTTGTTTCACCGGAAATACCAATTACACAATCTTTTATGTGTAATGTAACCTTAATCGAGCACAACAAAAACAAACGAAATATTTACCCATTGTTTTTTAGACGATTTACTGTCTCAGAAGCTTATTTTTTCGATCATCGCTTTGTGGTTGATTTTAATGAAATGAAACAAGCTTTTTCCTTTGCATTAGTCTAACTCATGTTAGGATACAACTAGTATAAATAATTTTGCTAACTAGCGCTATATAAACTTTGTGCTATCATGCTCATGAACTTAGAAATACCCATATAGTAAATATTTTTGAATCTGGTCGCTTTTTTTTTTAAAAAAAAAAAACCACTAATTTCTACTTCAAATTCAGTTAGATTCTAATCTACGATAAACAAATAAGAATATCCGAAAATCTTTATTATTACCAGTACCACAAAAACATTTAATAAAAGATCATTATTTGTTTATTGTTTTTTTTTTTTCCTTAGTCTAATTCAATAATGGAAACATTTCGACAAAAATTTTATGTGACGGTTTTTTTTTATTTGACTTTTTTTTTTGTTTGGTCTAAAATATCACATTTGCAGACGACGAATGAGGTTTAATGGAATGCGTGAAGTGACAAAAAAAATCATTTTACTCAATCATCGAAAATATTCGGCGATTCACAATATGGGGTCAATCAAAATTGAATTACTCAATGGAGGATTAAATGATTGAATAATCATGAAATGTAATTCTCTTTCCCACCCCCTGCTTATTCTCACATACGTTTTGGTAAGTAAAAACCTAAAATTGATGCTAATCTACATGTATTATTATATTATTCCTTGCATCAATTACTCATCATTATTAACATCATCATCATCCACCATTCATGTTTTACGAATTACGGATTGAACGCTTCAACGTGCAGATTTTAACTTTACCCCTCACTTTGTATGTAAGCAATCACACCGTCTTATTCATCATTTATTACATACGACTTTTAATTCTCTTGCGCTCTCTTCATCAAAGTAGGAAATAATAGCAATTTATGTGGTGCTGCATACTGTGTAAAATTAGTAATTTTTTGTGCTTTGCGTCTTATTGAATAATTGGATTTCAGAGTCGGAACCGTTCTCACTGGTTGACATC